GATGCTATCCTTGCTGCCATGTATGCTGTGACTATTAGTGATGAGGGTGACTGTTACCGGTGTTTCCCGCCCGACCCGGGCATTGGTACTGCTGCGCTAGGTGCTAATGAGGCTGCTGCTCTAGGTGCCAGTGCGTCTGCGCCCTCAGGTACTGGTGAGTCTGCGCTCTGAGGTACCATGTCGGCTTCGGCCTCCCTCACCTTCACACTTGACTCAGGGGCTTCTCGCTCCTTCTTTCGAGACCGCACCACACTCACGCCGCTTGGTCGGCCGGTTGCAGTCTCCCTGGCAAACCCCTCTGGGGGTCTTGTCCTCTCTCACTTCTCCACTGTCCTCCCGTGTCGGGCTCTCCACTCTGGCACCTTGTCTGGTCTTTACCTCCCCTCGTTCTCTACGAACTTGGTGAGTGGTGCTGACCTGCAGGATGCGGGGGTTCACCAGTTTACTCCTGCGAGTCAGCTGGTGACCCACTGCACGGACGCTGGCACAGGCCGGCACCTGGCCACGTTTACGCGTTGGCCGGGGTCGAGCCTCTACACCCTGACCACTGGGTCTCCTCCTGTCCCTGCGTCTGGCCAGGTAGCTGCGTCGGGTCAGGTGTTTGCTGCAGCGTCCAGGTCTGGTCCTGAGTCTGCCCCCTGCTCGTGTCGCCTCCTATCTCACGAGAGTCTCCTGTGGCACCACCGTCTTGGTCACCCCTCCCTGCCCCGTCTCCGAGGCATGGCTTCCCGTGTCGTGGTCTCTGGTCTTCCCCGGTCCCTCCCTCCCCTTCCTCCTGGACCTGGTCCTTCCTGCGTCCCCTATGTCGAGGGGCGCCTACGGGCTGCCCCTCACTCCTCTCAGTTTCCCCCGACAGAGGCCCCACTGCAGACGCTTCACATGGACGTGTGGGGCCCAGGCCGCGTCCGTGGACTCGGTCACGAGCGCTACTTCCTACTAGTGGTTGACGACTACTCGCGTTACACCACAGTCTTCCCCTTGCGCACCAAGGGCGATGTCTCTGAGGTGCTGATCGACTGGATCCGCGCAGCTCGTCTCCAGCTCAGGAGGAGCTTCGGCTCGGACTTTCTTGTTCTGCGTCTGCACTCTGACCGAGGCGGAGAGTTCTCCTCTGGCCTTCTGCAAGCCTACTGCCGTGCGTGAGGCATCCGCCCGACCTTTACGTTTCCGGACTCTCCACAGAAAAATGGGATTGCTGAGCGCCGCATTGGCATGGTCATGGACGTCGCTCGTACGTCCATGATGCATGCGGTTGACCCCATTTTTTGTGGCCGTTTGCGGTTCGGTACGCGGCGCATCAGATCAACCTTCACCCCAGGGTCTCCATGCCGGAGACCTCCCCAGCTTTGCTGTGGACGGGGAAGGTTGGCGATGCGTCTGTGTTCCGTGTCTCGGGATCTCGGGCGTTTGTCTGCGACTTGTCTGCGGACAAGCTGTCCCCTCGTGCTGCTCGTTGTGTCTTCCTTGGCTTCCCCCTTGACGCACAAGGGTGTCAGTTCTACCACCCTTCCTCTCGTCGTGTTCTGTCCTCCCAGGACGTCACGTTCGACGAGTCGGTCCCCTACTACCGTCTCTTCCCCTACCGCACTCCTTCCCCCCCCCCGCCACCGCACTTCCTTGTGCCAGGTCCCCCCCTGGTAGACCCCCTCCCCCCTGAGGGTCCTGCCCCTTCAGGGGTGTCCCAGGTAGACGCAGTCGAGCCGGTCGAGGTTGATGGCGACTCTGGTACTGCTGCAGGTGCTGAGCCTGGGGGTGCTGACTCTGGGGGTGCTGCACGAGTGGGTGCTGAGCCTGGGGGTGCTGAGTCTGGGGGTACTGCGACTTGGGGTGCTGAGCCTGGGGGTGCTACGACTGGGGGTGTTGAGCCTTGGGGTGCTGCGACTGGGGGTGCTGAGCCTTGGGGTGCTACGACTGGGGTTGCTGAGCCTGGGGGTCCTTCGCCAGGGGGTGCTGCGTCTGGAGCTGCTGCGCCTAGGGGTGCGGATCGAGCGGCTGCTGGACCTGATCGATTGGCGTCTGGCGGTGCTGGGCCTGGCGGTTCTCCTAGTTCTTCTTGGCGGGAGCCACTCTCTCCACAGGAGCTGCGCGAGTGGTTTGCCCGGCGCTGGAGGCGTACTGCTGGAGCTGGAGCTTCTTCGGCCGCTGAGGGTGCTGGTGCCGCTGGTCCCGGACGTGCTCGTCCGACGGGAGCTGGAGCGGTTGAGGGTGTTGGCGCTGAGGCTACTGCTGTCAGTCCTGGCGGCGGTCCTGCTGCGGGTGCTGCTGGTGCTGCTGGAGGTACTACAGCTGGAGGTGCTGTTGGCGCTGGTGCTGCCGGAGGTGCTGAGGGTGCTAGTGCTGTCCCTCCTGTGTCTGGAGTCCCTGCGCGGCCTCGGCAGTACTTCGTTTCGCTCCTTCAGCAGTTTCTTGGCCTTCCTCCTCCCTTAGAGTGTCCACCGCCTGTCCAGTCCCAGTCACAGTTACCGCCGGCCTCCCCACTGCCTGCTCCCTCTCCCTACACTGGTCCTACTGGAGGTCTTGCTGAGCGTTGTGAGCCTGCGTCTCGTCCTGCGTCGCCTGCTCGTGCTTCTCGCGCTAGTGGTCGCGGTTCGCGCCAGCGTCCTCCTCCTGTCCCTTGCACGCACCGGATGTCTCTGCGTCCGTCCACTGCTCCTCTTCGTGCCCCTTTGCCTTCTCCTCCTGTGTCCTCTCTTCCTTCGCTTGCCGACCCGGAGTCGGACTCTCTTCGTGCTGCCAGTCCTACTGTCACGCGTCTTCTTGCTACTGTCGTCACTGACCCCTCTTTTGAGTCCACTGCTGCGTTTGCTCTTGTTGCTGAGCTTGTCGACTTTGCTGCTCGCTGTCGTCTAGACTACGCTGCTAGTCTTGTTGCTGAGTCTGCGTCTGTCTGTCCTCCGTCCGTCAGGGGCGAGTGTGCTCTTAGCACGGACGTCCTTGAGGACAGGCAGGAGGAGTTCCAGTGTCTTGCTGCTGCTTCACCTCATCTCGCGTCCGTACTGCTTACCCCTGAGGGAGACCCGGATGCACTTGACATCCCGACTCCGCGCTCTTACGCGAAGGCTGTAGAGGGTCCCTACTCCTCTCAGTTGCAGGCAGCTATGGATGCAGAGATGGCTTCCTGGAAGTCCACAGGCACCTACGTTGACGCGGTTCCCCCACCTGGGGCGAACATCGTCAGTGGCATGTGGATCTTCAGGGTGAAGCGGCCGCCAGGTTCTCCATCTGTCTTCAAGGCGCGGTACGAGGCTCGTGGCTTCAGTCAGCGGCAGGGAGTTGACTACTTTCAGACCTTCTCTCCCACCCCGAAGATGACCACTCTTTGGGTGCTGCTGCACATAGCCGCTCAGCGTGACTACGAGCTTCACTCCCTTGACTTCAGCACTGCTTTCTTGCAGGGTAGCCTGCACGAGGAGATCTGGCTGCGCCGTCCACCTGGCTTCACTGGGACTTTTCCTCCTGGCACCCAGTGGAGCCTCTGACGGCCAGTCTACGGTCTCCGCCAGGCACCGCATGAGTGGCACGACACACTGAGGAGTACACTTGCGGCTCTTGGGTTTGCTCCCTCTACTGCTGACCCGTCGCTGTTTCTGCGCACCGACACCTCTTTGCTGCCGTTCTACATCCTCGTGTACGTCAACGACTTGGTCTTTGCCCATGCTAACACTGCTGGACTCGCCCACGTGAAGTCCGAGCTGCAGAAGAGACACACGTGCACAGACCTGGGTGAACTGCGCACCTACCTTGGCCTGCAGATCACCCGGGACAGAGCACGCCGCACCATTACCCTGACTCAGTCAGACATGGTGCAGCAGGTCCTTCAGCGCTTCGGCTTCACGTACTCCTCACCTCAGGCCACTCCTCTGTCTACTCGCCACTCGCTCTCAGCTCTGCCTTCGGATGAGTCCGTAGAGTCGAGTGGCCCGTACCCAGAGCTTGTTGGCTGCCTCATGTACCTGATGACCTGCACACGACCTGACCTTGCATACCCTCTTAGCATTCTTGCACGCTATGTTGCTCCTGGGAGACACAGACCAGAGCACATGGCAGCAGCGAAGAGGGTGTTGCGCTACTTGTGCAGTACGTCGGGCATGGGGCTAGTGCTTGGAGGGCGGAGTCCAGTGGTCCTCAATGGGCACGCGGACGCTTCTTGGGCTGACGACCCGGCTACGCAACGGTCGTCACAAGGTTACACCTTCAGCCTTGGGTTCCGGCTCTGTTTCGTGGCGGGCTACTCGCTCGTCTTCTGTTCTCGGCTCCAATTGTGAGGCTGAGATCTACGCCGGGGCCATGGCTGCACAGGAGCTTCGCTGGCTCACCTACCTGCTGACCGACCTTGGAGAGCCGCCTCGTTCTCCTTCAGTCATGTACGTAGACAACAAGGCCATGCTGGCCTTGTGTCGAGAGTAGAGACTGGAGCAGAGAACAAAGCACATTGCTCTTCGCTACTTCCTTGCTCGTGAGCTACAGTAGCGTGGTCAGTTGCAGCTTGCGTACGTGGCCTCTGAGGCCAACACTGCTGATGTTTTCACCAAGGCACTTCCGCTCTGTGATATTCAGCGCTTCTGCATTCAGCTGGGTCTTCTCCCTGTCTTGCCTCACTTGCTTACCCCTTGACCTTGCTTGTACTCTTACATATATATATATACCTGCTCTTGCTTGTTTAGCCTTATATATATTTGTGTACTCCTGCATGTGAATTGGCCTTGTGGCCTTGACCTTGTGCTCGGACTGTGTGGTGACGTTGTGATCCACCCTGAGCTTTGCTTTGCTTTGCTTGACTGGTCTTGTGACCCCTTGTTCTCCCCCACTTTGCCTATGGGGGTGTGTCAAATTATAATGTTGTGTAGGCTAAAGTGGGGAAGCCTATATGGGGTACACATTCCTAGGGTTCCATATTTGTATCACTTTCATTCCTTAGTCAATCATTCTCGTACTAATTGTCTCAGGGTGAACATGGCCAAGTGTGGGCCTGTCCAAGCACACGTGGAGTGGGTCATTCGCTAACACGCAGGAGTGAACTGGTCAACCCCCCTATCCTGTAGGTCCGCTCCGCTCACCAAGTTCGTAGAGAACGAGGGGAGGTAGAGACCAGATAGGGTGCCAGAGGGGGCTGCCGGGCACGGTAGGACAATGGAGAAGCTAGCAAGGACAGGACCCCCAGAGGGGTCTGCCAGGGAGACTGCAACCGGCCGACTGAGCGGCGTAAGAGTGGTGCGGTCTCGAAAGAAGGAGCGGGACGCACCCGAGTCCAGGGTGAAGGTGTGGAAGGCCTGAGCCGACGCATTACTTGAGAGAGCAGACACACCAGCACCTGGGGCAGCAGATGCACTGGCACCTGGGGCAGCAGACGCACTAGCACCTAGAGCAGCAGCCTCACCAGCACCTAGAGCAGCGGCCTCAATGCCCGGGTCAGGCGGTACACACAGGTAACAGGCACCCTCAACACTAGTATCAACAGCATACATAGCAGCAAGGATAGCATCAAAGCCAAGATCTAAGATAGCAACCCCGGCCTTAGTCAGATCTCCCCATCAAGGGATCTCTGACGCCTCAGGGAACTAGCGATGCCACGCGTCCGTAAGGCGACCAAAGCAGCGCTGGGTGGAGTGCGGGCCTCCGTACTGCTCACCAGCGCGGTCCCCAGTACGGAGGACGTAAGCGCAGGGACCAAAACCCCCACTGCGCTGACGCACAGTGTACCACTCACGAAGCTGCTGAGGGGACAGGGTCACACCACTCCGCTGCTGCATCTGGCGCTGGCCACCACCGGCGCCACTCCTTCTGCGCAGAGTCGCGACCCGCTCCATCATCCGCCGCCTCCGCCGCCGCCGCCGCCTCCGCCGCCTCCTCCACCTCCGCCTCCTCCACTTCCTCTGCCGCCTCCGCTCCCTTCGCCACCTCCACCGCCTTCGCCGCCTCCACTGCTGCCGCCGCCGCCGCCACCCCCGGCACCACTCCCACCACTACCCCCACTCTCTCCACTACCTCCACTACCACCTCCACTGCCTCCTCCAGCCCCTCCAGCGCCCTTGCCCCCCTTGCCCTTGCCGGTGCGCCATCTCCCGCTCAGGGCAGACGCAGCACCGACCGACTCAAAACCAACAAGGTCGGCCGCAGCAGCAGAGGCAACAGAGGGCAAGAGGGTGGAGGGAGAACACCCCTCAAAGACGGGGGTGCGAGGGTCACCACGAGAGGCTCCTAGAGCGACTACGAGGGCCTTCTCGAGGAGGTCAACGGTGAGAGTGGTGGGGGAAAATGAGAGGAAGTGGTCCCTGACTACGCGGAGAGAGTCAGGGAGCTGGTGACTATGTAGTAGAGGGTGATGTACATGGGGGGGGGTTCTTGGCGCAGAACTCAGCAGGAAGCGCAGCGCGGTAGCGAGTGTCACTAGTGCGGAGGTGCGTAATGAGGTCAGCGACTGTGGGAAAGGCAGCAAGGTCAGGGAAAAGGTACGGTAGCATGAGGCGGCTAAGTGCAGCAGTGGCAGGGGAAGAGTAGCGCGCAACTACAGCATCGTACAAGGTCTGAGCACTCTTGTACTGACTAAAGTGCGCGCGCTCAGTGGTAGGCAGGTGGCGACGCACAGCAAGACGTGCAGCAGCATCGCGTGTGGCCCACTGTGAGCGAACAGTGGCGTCAGCATCAGCAGCAGGGGCAGGAGAGGCACCAGAAGTGAGGTCGAACAGAGAGAGGCCGTCTGCCCTATCGCACTGCAGGAAAAGCTGCAGATCATCTACCCAGACCTCAAAGTCAACTGCCCGACCCTCGGCGTCGAAGGTGAGAACGCTAGGGGAGGCCATAACAGCAGTAGACAGGCAGTAAGCACAGTGGGGTAGGGCAGTGCAGTGGCAGAGACTCTGCTCTTACCAGGCAAGTAGGGCGGCCGGGCGGCTCGGCGGCTCGGCGGTAGGGCGGCTCGGCGGCTCGGCGGTAGGGCGGCTCGGCTGCTCGGTGGCTCCGCGGCTCGGCGGTTGGGCGGCTCGGCTGCGGTGCGGCTCGGCTGCTCGGCGGCTCGGCTTGTGGGCGGCTCGGCGGTTGGGCGGTCTGGCTGCTGGGCGGCTCGGCGGCTCGGCTGCTCGGCGGCTCGGGCGCTGGGCGGCGGAGCGGCGACGGGGCCACTGAAAGGGCGGCAACCGGCCGCTGAAAGGGCGGCGACGAGCCGCTGAAAGGGTGACGACAGGCCGAGGGAAGGGCGGCGACGGGCTTCTGAAAGGGCGACGACGGGGCCCGCTGAAGGGCGGGCGGCGACGGGGCCGCTGAAAGGGCGGCGGTGGGGCCGCTGAAAGGGCGGGCGACGGGCCGCTGGAAGGGCGGCGGTGGGGCCGCTGAAAGGGCGGGCGACGGGCCGCTGGTAGGGCGGCGATAGGCCGCTGAAAGGTCGGCGATGGGGCCCGCTGAAAGGGCGGGCGGCGACGGGGCTGCTGAAAGGGCGGGCGACGGGGCCTGCTGAAGGGCGGGCGACGGGGCCGCTGTAAGGGCGGGCGTCGACGGGGCCGCTGAAAGGGCGGCGGTGGGGCCGCTGAAAGGGCGGGCGACGGGGCCTGCTGAAGGGCGGGCGACGGGGCCGCTGTCAGGGCGGGCGTTGAGGCCGCGAAAGGGCGGCGACGGGGCCGAAGGGAAGGGCGGCAACGAGGCCGCCTAAGGGGCGGTGCGACGGGGCCGCAAGGGCTGCGTGACGGGGCCGCGTAAGGGCAGCGTGACGGGGCCGCAAGGGCGGCACGACGGGGCCGCAAGGGCGGCGCGACGGGGCCGCAAGGGCGGCGCGACGGGGCTGTAAGGGCGGCGCTAGAGGCCGCTAGAGGGGAGAGGACTCGGGGCGCGACTTGGGCAGGGACCAAGCGTGCTCCGGGTAGGAAAAAAAAGTTGGTGGGCCTTAGGAACAGTTCCCACGAGGGAACCAGCTCTATACCATGTGAAGAATGAAACGAGAGAATGGGTGAATGAACTATGAAACAGTTGGGTACAAGTACTAACCCTAATTGGGTTGTACCCCTTATGGGCTACCCCACTACAACCTACAGAAATTTATAAGCTATAATGTTCTGACAAGATGTTGAGGCCGAGAAACTGCTTCATGTCATGGTTAGAGGTAATATCGTCACGTCCCGCGAGGTTCTTCTCGAACTGCTCAAATATTTCTTTGCTTGAACATATGTAGAGGAGGTCGTCGACGTAGACCGTGAGTAGGATGTATTTGCTGTGGAATCCACGGCGATACATCTCTGGATCGTGAGGCAACTTCTTGAAGCCAATTTCAAGCAGGATGTTGTGCAGGTACTGCTAAGAGAGCCTTGGCGGCTGTTTGATCCCATAAAGGGATTTCTGCAACTGGCAGACGCGCGAATCCCCTTCGCCGTATCTGTGTGGCTGCTCCACGTAGATCACCACATCTACTAACGCGTACAAGAACGCGTTTTTTCACGTTGATTTGTCGGAGCGGTAGGTGTCGTGCATCAGCGATGACAAGGAGTATTCTGACGGAGGTGTGACGGCTGACCAGCACAAACATTTGGTCGAAGTCAATCCCGTGCCTTTGATCGTAGCCGCGCACGACCCAGCGCGCCTTGAATCGCCCTATCGTGCCGTTAGATGCGGTCTTCACGCGGAAGACCCATTTCCCGAAGAGAATCCTCCTTCCTTTAACTGCTGCTCAATCGACGAGCACCCAGGTGTTGTGGGATTTGAGTGCCTCACGCCATACTTTGCAATGAGGTCCTGTGAGAGCTTGGTGGGGATTCTTCGGCTCGATGACACGTGGCGCCGTTGAGGTGGCGGTGTGGAGCCCAAGAAGATACAGTCCAAACATGGTGCTGTCGTGGCAGAGCTGTGGGGTGACTTCCTGTACGTCGTCGTCATCGCTTTCTGGTTCAGGTGGTGCTGGCGGTACTGTGCCTCTGCCGCTTCTGCCTGCTGCGCCTACTCCTCCTCTGAAGGAATTGTTGTCATCGTCGCCGCTGCTACGGCGATCGCCTCTTATGAGCCTCTGGTGTCCTGCTCCAGAATGGCTGCTGCAGCTTCGTCCTCACGCGTGGTGTAGCTGTGCCCGTCGTTGGCGTGGACGCGGTTCGCATTCGTCTACTCGTCTTTGCAAAATTGCTGAAGGAAGAGACGCTCGTAGAAGATAACGTCGCGCGCGTTCGTAGTTTTCTGGCTCATAAGATCCAGTATGAGCCATGTCTTGTGCTCATGGCCGATGCCGAGGTGAATGCCCCAGTACGCGCAGCTTGCGAACATCCCGATAGTTGACTTTGGTGGGCGGTACTGCACCATGCACCCCAACACGCGGAGCATGGATGTGTCGCCTTTGGTTGCGGTCCACTTCACATGCGGGGACAGATTGCCGGTGATGGCAGTGGTTGATAGTAGATTGTGCACCCGCACGGCATGATGCATTGGTCCAGTAGATCGGGAGAAGCTTTGACTGTTTCATCGACGCCCGCACCTTCGTCATGAGTGTGCGATTTGTGCGCTCAACTACGCCTTGCTGCTGGTGCGCGTAGGGAAGAGAAATATGATGCTCAATTCCCTTGTGCACTAGGTAATCCTGCACTTCATTGCTTATGAACTCTGCTACACCGTCAGACTGCCAGATCTTTAGTTTCTCCCCAGATTGCCGCTGCGCGTGCGCCAGCCACAAGCAGAAGACCTCGTACGTTTTGCTGCGCGCCTCCACATTTACGATCCACAGATAGCGTGTTCCTGCGGCGACGAAGGTAAGCGTGTACAACTCGTCGTTGGTTCCGTAGTGACCCACATTTAGGAAGTCACTGTAGACCTTCTCCAATTTTGCATAGTGGTGGTTTCGGGCTCGATCAGGGGGGGCGGCTGGTGGCTCAGCGCAGCTTCGGGGCAGACGGTTCAGTGGCGTGGATGTTTTGCGCCTCTTACTTTGGTCCCATCAGGGCGCATAAGAGCTTCACGTGCGAATACGTCACCTTCAATGCAGTTTTTCAGTGTCACGCGAGGGATGACCAAGGCGCTGATGCCTGTAAGGATCTAGGATCGAGCTCACAAAAGAGAATGTGAATGAATTGAATTGAATGATCACCTGGGTACAGCACCAGGCTATATATAGGCTCGACACAAGGCCCCGTAACCAGGTGTTACGCGAAGGTTCCGCGGGTCGCGAAGCGTCCCGAACAGATCCTTACCGAATTCGGTAGAAGGCAATTCGGTGGCAACCGAAAAGCCAGAATTCGGTGCACGCAACCTAGCTCGGTGCTATAACTATAATAAAATATAGGAAAGCACCTAGCCTAGGAAATCAAGCAATTCATGCATGCATATAAGTATCCTATGCTAGAAATAGCATGAAAAGTAAAGGCAAGCAAGCATAGCTGGCATAAGCTGTCGTACTCTCACAATGCCAGAGCGCATCGTCGGCGCGAAATTCAGAGGTGCGCATGTAGCGTGCATGCGCGGCTTCAGAGCTTTGCTAGGTACTGGTGTGGCTGTTGTGGCTGCTGTGTCAGCTGCTTCTGCTTCTTCATCGTCTCCATTCCCTGTGGTTAGCATCAAGGTAAGAAACTCCCTGTCAAGGATGGCGGGAGTGTGCTGCAATGGCTGCTGAAAGGATGAAGGGGCTGAAAGTGACAGTGGAGATGCTGGTGCAGCAGTTGAAGTAGGTGAATGCTCGACTTGCGCCGGCTGAAAAGCAAAATGCAACAAGTGCTGATGAGAAGAATGATGCTGGAACCCGGGGGAGTGAAAGTAAGGTTGCGGCTGTGATCAAGGAAAAGGTTGAAGATGCCAAGGGAAAGATGTTGGTGCTGCAAATGGCAAGCGTTGCAGCTGATGCGACTAAGGTGATGTTAAACATACATGACATAGTCTGTGTAGGCTGTAGTGAGGTAGACCATATGGGGTACAACACTGCTAGGTTTCCCTACTTGTACCCATCTCCTTGCTAGTTCAGTCATTCCTCTTTCTTCACATGGTATAGAGCGGGTTCCCTAGTGGGACCGTTTCCTCCTAAGGGCCCACCATCTACGTTTTTTCCTACCCTGCCCGAAGTGCGCTTCGCGCTCTGACCTGCCCTACCCTTTCGCGGCCCCTTAGCGGCCCCCCTTCGCGGCCCCGTAGCGGCCCCTTCGCGGTCCCTTAGCGGCCCCTTCCCGGCCCATTTCCGGCCCCTTGGCGGCCCCTTCGCGGCCCCTCCTCGTTGCCAATAGCGGCCCCGCCCCATCGCCAGTCGCGGCTCCGCCCCGTCGCCACCCGGGTGTCGTCCCTGCCTCGTCGCGACGCCTCAGCGGGACCTGCGCGTCGCCCCTGCCTCGTCGCGACGCCCCTCCGGGACCCGCGAGGCGCGGCTCCTGCGCGTCGCGACGCACCAACGGGACCCGGGCGTCGCCCCCGCTCGTCGCGACGCCCCTGCGGGACCCGCGCAGCGTCGCCCCTGCCCGCCGCGGCGCCCTGCCCTAACCCGCGCCCGACCTTCGGACGGCCGCCCCTGCCCCCGCACCTTGTAGCAGCTGCCCCTGCAGCAGCCGGCCCTGGCCCCTAGAGCAGCCGCCCCTGGCCCCTGGAGCAGCCGCACCTGCACCAGCCGCCCCTGGCCACTGGAGTAGCCGCCCCTGCAGGAGCCGCTTCTGGCCCCTGGGGCAGCCGCCCCTGGCCCCTGGAGCAGCCGCCCCTGCAGCTGCCGCCCCTGGCCCCTGGAGCAGCCGCCCCTGTAGCAGACGCCCCTGGCCCCTGGAGCAGCTGCCCCTGCAGCAGCCGCCCTTGGCCCCTGGAGCAGCCGCCCCTGGCCCCTGGAGCAACCGCCCCTGGAGCAGCCGCCCCGGCAGCTGCCGTGGAGCCC